GCCGGCGATGGGCAGCTCGAAGCTGAAGACGAGCGGCGTGAGCGCGCGCACGCGGGCGCGGGCTCGCTCCACGCGCTCCATGTCGCCCGCTATCGAAACCTGGTTGCTCTTCTCCGTCGCGCTGGTGCGGTTCGAGTCCGGGAAGTGGATGTGGCACCCCGTGTCCTCCATCACGCGCTTTATAGTCAGCCCGCCCTGCACAACGCGCTTCGGTATATACTTAATACTTACTAGTTACACAAAACTGCCAATTAAACACAACGTCATTTAGACCGATTCTTTGTTCGATCGACTTTGTTGGATATATATAAGTCTGTCGATACAATATTTTTTCCATTGACTTTATGGTAACGAGCTGCATGCATCCTCTCGCCTCATCGGTGTTTATCGCCTTGGGAAATATTCCATTGGCGAGTTGCGAGCAGTCGACGTCGCTGCCCGCATTCTTTGTACAGTATACTAAACTATCCCAACAATGTTGCGCGCCTCTGCCTTAACTATTATGTTACGTTTATACTGATGTTATTTAAATAAATTAAATTAATAAAAAATTGATGTAACAGAATACAAAATTGATAGAAGTAAATAGATAGATACAACCGATAATTACAACCGATGCTGTAATTAACGTCTTAAAGTGTGATGCAACACACACGTGTTTATTTGTACTCTAAATGCTTATTATCTTTTTTATTACTTTGTGTACCTACTTAAAAATTTAGCCTTGATCTAAAAATTACATTATAATCTCCCATTGAATTGTAGAGAAGCGTTTATTAAAATATATAAACAGTAGCTTGTATAAAAGTCTATAGTAATTTAATAACAAAAGTCGATAATCCAAAAGTTTTACCTTGCCAATGATATGGGAGTGGTCCGTGTAGCTCACGTCAATCTTCATCGTGACCCGGTTGCTCTGGAACAAAATTAAAATGTAACTAATTAATAAACAAAAATACATTTGCACCTAGGCGATTTATGACATGACGCGGCTGCGACTTCTGCCTATAGGAAATTGTACGACTTCGAGTAACGGCACTGGTGCTGTTGATACCGAAGGTACCACTGCATCAGCACACATTGGCTCTGAACTAACCCCATCGTACTACAACAACTCTTCGACGACAGGTGCCATCGTTCTACATCTGTTCATACCAAGTTATGAATACTTAAATGTATCCAACCGGTAAATAATATTCGAAGTAAATTGATTGTGTACTTACTCTGGTGTCCAATACTTGCATAATCTTCTCCCGGGCTCGTTTCACATCATCAGCTCTTCCCGCAATACGTACATGAGGATCTAATCACACGATTTGTATTAAAAAATAAACTTCAAGATAAAACAAATTAAGCAAACTTTTACATTGTAAAATTTAAACTAAACCACAATTTTGAATTAAAACAACATAACGTACCGAAATCAAATAAAAAATCCCTAAACTTTTTACATCTAATTTCAAAAATCTTTTGATACAATAATTCATCGCACTGTTCGTTAACAACCATTTTTGATTTAATTTAATTACTTCATGAACTAACAATTAAGGTAAAACTGACATAGCCGCGCAATATGAAAAAAATTTAAAACGAATCGCGACGCCCGCCAGGTTGGCGCCAGCCGTGGCGTGCCGGCGTAGTTCACTCTATTCGGCGCAGCCCGCCAAAATATTTAAAACTCGAAAAAGGACAAATAAACGTTATTCGTTCAAAAATTTGAAATGACTTTTTGTCACTATTTTTTAAATATTAATTAATGTTTTGATGGCTGGTGGTTTTTTAATATACTTTTAATTTAGTGGTTTTAATGGTTTTTATTGCATTTGAATTTATTTAAAAAATAATAATATTGATTATTTTTTTTCTACATAGAAATGTGGTGCTGGCGTTTCAACTATTCGATCTTTACGTACAGAATGTTGGATAATTGGATAATTGGTAATTTAAATGCTTTAAAATAATCTTTGCATCGGGTTATTTCAAAATGTTTCTTTTTTACGTTTTACAAGTAAAAAAAGTAATGCCACTTGGTTTTATTAATATTTCTTTCTCTTTATTGCGTTAAAATATTTAATGTTAAACCCGACAATGTAAAAGAAAAAAAATAATAAATAGGACTCGGATACCTTTCTTTGATCGCGCTCCAATTTTTAATCGAGCTGGCCAATTTATTAAAGTGTTTGTTTCGCTCATTATCTGGAACATTAAAAAAATAATTTAGTTGACAACTAGTTGTATTTATCTATGTGATAGAAAAATATTTAGTCGAAATATACTTACCCGATGAAAAAAAGCTTGAGCCGTTTGTGATTCCTCCAAATTTTCTAAAAAAAAAAAAAAGTAAGTTAACATGTACAGTTTATACAGTAGGACATTAGTTAACATAATGCATACCAGCCAGCATTCCTTCCAGTCTACGTCTGTCCACGCGAAATTTTTCTTGATAGACATCCTCAACATTACTAATACCGAGTATCACTGCCAATTTTTGTACATCTTCTGCTGATGCGACGGAATTGCTCGTACCGCTTTCTGAAACCTGCAAATCAGACGAGATGGAGGTGTTTAAATTCAATATTGAATTATAAGATGATGCAATATCGTACATTTGTAGATTATTTAGTTACTGTACTTAATACCTACGTTGTTATATTTGATAGGTAAGTTACCCAGTACCTAGCTGTAATAGGAAGTTGCAAACATGCACCTCTCTAAGAGGCAAACCTCGTGGATGGATGAAACCTTTATTGGTTTACATTGCCCACCATTCAAATATTGGTGTAGTATTAGAACAGCTTTACAAAACACGACTAAGGTTTTGCTAACACGAGGATGTATCAATGAAACATATTAAAAATGGCGGCAATTGAAACTGGCTAAGTCGTGATGTAGTTGCTAGATCTAAGCGCGATGAATAGTAATGTAATGACTTACCTCGCTCATTGCATCTTTGTCCGCATTACTTTTAAAATCAGATAAATGTGTTTTAACGGATAAAAAGTTTGTTGTCGCCATTTTAATTATTTAAGTTATTATGTTATATTCTTTTTACACTATGAACAGTTATCACTTAATGAATTTGTCGAATAAGATTCATAGTTAACTTAATTTTATAGAAAAATATATTTCTTAGGTATTGATAGTTGATACCCGGTACGTATTGTTACGTATTGCTTGTTCACGGTGATACTAAATTTAAAAGATGCATTTGCTCAAAAGTCAAAAAATGAAGGTAGTTTTTTAAATTTTACATCATTACAATGACTACAACTGCAACCTTTACAATAATTTAAATCTTATAACAGTGTTGAATTGCTTTTCTAAAAAAATGTAACATGACACAAATTTGTTATTAGTCATTTATTGTTTTTAATTACATTTTATGTCTATATTTAATTTTATCTAAAATTAGGGTTCTTTGTATAAGCCAATCAAATCGCAGTACTATATTAAATGTTGCCAAGTGAACGTAATTACATACATACATTCATTACGAATAATAATATTAATGTGTTTAATATTAAAATAACAAAAAGATTTTTTGTGAAAATATTTTATCTGTAACAAAAAAAATGTGTCGTTGTTTAAAATCGGTATTTCGAGCGCTCACCACAACCACATGAGGTCGCGCTCGTCGCATCAGTCGGGTTTCTGCGCTTGCCGGTGTAGGGTGCGTGCGTTCTTCTCGGCTCGAGAACTTTTCGTGTCATATTAGTTTTTAAAAAATATAATTTTTAATTCTTAAAAAAAGTTTCCACGTAGTGTTAATTCCATCGCCAGTGTATTAGTCATCTAGTGTAGTATTTTGTTACTTTAAGTGTCAATATAAGGTAAGGAATGTGAAGTATATTTTATTAAAAAAATAAATATTCCTAGAAATCGATTGTTTATGGTAAAGTTTTATTAACTTACTCGGATCCTCTTATGAGCTATATATTTTTAAGAACTAAAGACGAATTACGATATATTTGGAAATTATCAAGAAGTTTAAAATTGGAAATATTTTAACTCAAATAGTACAAACATATATAAAAACTAGGTAACCAATTTTTTTAACATGCTACATCCATAATTTCTTTTAATAAAATATTACTGTAAGTGACATAGTTTAGAGCTTGTTGTTTATTTTCAGTAGCACTAGTTACATAAATGTAACTGTTTCCTGTCAAAAGTCGATTCTATTCAAAATTCAACAGCTATGCATTCGATATTCGATTAGCGTCAACGTAACGCACGTCACTCGAACATTTTTTACATACAATGCTGATAACCGTTTCCCGTAGATTTTAATAAGTTTTTCGATTTATTGAGAAACATCGTTAATGTTTTATTTAACTAATTGGTTACTGTAATTTAATGTTGGTAAAATCTCAACAAAGTTGAATTTCGTACGATTCGATTTATGATTAAAAATATATTCAATATTTTTTAATAATATAATTTGGAATACAATCAATCAGCAAATAAAACTAATGATTTTCGAATCTGCAAGTCGATACGATACGTCAAGGGTTCGTCAACCCTACGGGGTCACGGTTATGTTAAATTATGGTTTCGTCGAATATCTTCATTGTACAATCATATTTGTTCATAATATGAATAACACTTTAAAAAACTCTACTCTGTAACGACCAAAAGATATTATTTTCATAGAATTTACATCCTACCATTTAAAACAAAACTTAGGTCGTACTTGTAACTTAAAATTGATAAGTTTTTGTTTTTGTAATTGATTTGCAGTTATGAATTGCATTTGATTACTCTGTTCACCGGGGAGGCCCGATGTTTGCACAGGCGTGAACAAGACAAAAGAATTGCTATTCAATAAAATCGATGCGCTAACATTGTTTGACGCATGCCGTGACCTTGAGACAAGTCGCCGAAATAGATTTCGCGAGCTGCGAATTTTATTGCGTATCTCATCCGTGTGAAAGTTGAAATATAGAGGAAAATATGTCGCGTGTTTAGAAACAGCTCGAAACGACTGAAAAATAGATCTAAATTCTAATATAATAGATCGAATAGTCCAATGATAGACAATAACTTTCCCTTTGCTAGGAAATGTGTTCTGTTGACAGGCGAGCTTTTTCACACAGGTCATAAATATAAAAAAATTGTAGTTTATAAAGTCATAAATAATATAGAGATCTATCAACAAGATCTGGTATTTTCTTGTATTGAATGTATTCGCAACAGTAGCGAGTGGGTTTGCGCGGGATGGTTCCGTTATTTAGCGCCGGCGCCGCGTCTCCTCCTTTCCTCTCGTCTCGTCTGTCAGATTAACGGTCTACTTAAATTCGCGACGGCCTCCGTGTCGCCACACCGCCGCCACACCGCCGCCACACCGCCGCCACACCGCCGCCACACCGCCGCCACACCGCCATCGACAACGAATGACCGCGATACATCAATAGGCTAATTGACGGCCTACATATGTTTAATAATATTTTTTTGTTCATCTCATTAAGATTAGTCGATCGTAGATTGCGACTCTGATACTCAACTTTGCCAAATACGGCAAAAGTTGTACATTATTTGAGTTATTCTACTAGAAAGCCAAGCTTTTCACTATATTAGGGTATGAAATTATAACGATATCTATGGTGTGCTTTCTACCACCCCACTCAATAGTAATGGATTGTACTACAAACTCATAGTAGTTTTTTCTTTTCAGAATTATAAAAGCATTCCAAAGTCATGGCTAAAACTGAGAAGTCATTTGCGAGAAACTTTACAGGTGAGTTTGTACATTCAAATTTGATTTTACGTCTAACATTACAGTAATGTATTTCAAATCATAAGCAACACATAAAAACATACGATCGGACAATCAGCGTGCGACGGCGACCATCTGTTGCCAAGTCGAGCCTATAAAGTTATTGTAAGTTGGCAATACGGGGTGCGCCGTGACGTCACCTGGCCTTTGGCCAACATGCAAATAACTCCGCTACTTTTTATCAACGTAATCTAACTTCCGGTGCAATCGATTAACGAGTTCTTCATATTCTTTGTTATTTTATTTTGATTGAAATTTGTTACGTACACTCTGTTAACCACAACTATTGGAGCAATTCTCTTTGAATATTCACTTAACTGAATAGTAGATTTTCAATATCTCTGTAAATATTAAGCTAGAGGTTGTTTTAGAAAATTTCGGAAAATATCTGGTTTGTTATTTCTTTAACGTGTTTAAAGTTATTAATAATGTTTTTAATTTCAACAGTAAAATAAGAAATTTTGTTAACTGTACAATAATATCTCACTTGTAGAAATCAGCTTAAAATATTTTTTTGCGTAAAATCTTTTGTTGATTCTATTTCCTCGGCCTATATTAGCATCGATGACAGCTGCAGAATGTGCTGGAAAGGTCACTCCATTGTTTACATCACATCGTCTTCCTCCGCCGACAGCCGCTGGCTCGGATTCTCATCAACAAACACGTCTTTTGCTATTGTACCATTGAAGTTCACGGTCGCTTGATGCTTGTTTGAAAAAAAAACTAACATCAATACGTCAAAACGTTTTTAAAATTGATCACTGACCTCTTTCATAATAACAAATACTCAAGATACGATCATTAATTAACGTTGTTATAAAAAATTAAACCATGACACATCTGTCACTTGCAAATTAATACTGACATGGTACAGTTATGGCCGAATACTAAAACGAAATTTAAACACTTCGCTTTCGAAACGCCGCTTAACAATCTGATAGATTGTGATTTAATGGGATCTAGAGTGTTAGCGTCGCCTTATCATTTAAGGCGCTGTTACAAATTTAAGTGTGTCAATATTCGACCGCTAGTCCTTCGTCCAATTAAAATTTTAACGCTTATATTACGCGTAATTCATGCATGAAATTAGTTCTTGTTTTGGGTTTGATGTGCAGATAAAATTATGCCGACTGTCAATCTTTTACTCATGCTCGAATAATCATACAATTGATTAGAAATTGTCCTGCATTCATTAGTACTGATTTCAAAATGTTCTACTAATCTATAAAACTTGTCTAAATTAAATGAGTCCGTTTGTCTGGCTGTGAGATTAATTTTAAGTTGTAACACAAGTACTTAGTCATGTGAAAGATAATTTAAACAGTGATTCACTTTTGAAAACCGTTTTAAACATTATTTAAAACAAGTAGGATGTTGCAACTTCGAAACGCGTTTACCCCTGATAGAAAAGTTTTAATCTTTCTTAATCCACGTGGACATTGGCTATTAACTAAGTGGATATTTCTGTAAAATAACTAACTTAACAGTCTTCTTCCCCCGACCGGAGCGCAACAGTTCACATTATCTAAGTTATTGCGCTCACTTGTAGAGAAAGTGCGTTAGAAATCACCGCCTCTTATCTGCAAGCTGCGTTTACATATTCCAAGGGTGTACTAAATACGCCTATCGAAGCTAGAGTGACAATCTTTTACACATAATGCTAAAACCGGCTTTTATTATTATTAGCGCCAACGTTTTTTTCCCAAAGATTACGGATTTTTTGCAGGTGATTTTCCTTCCCGGAAAATCACAAAAAATAATAAAACCTTCCATTGACTATATTATAAGGAAGTAAATACTTCAACGACTATATCTAAAATAGCTTCCTATCTTCAGCTTTTTGCATTCTCATAATTGTGTAAATACTATAATTATGTAAAAAACTATCCTGAAAAATAATTAACAGTTGGTCATCCTGGTTAACTGTTTTAATTGTAGATGAATGTATCGAGACGGACGCCGCGCATTTTTTGCGCACGACATGAATTTATGTAGACTTGGCACCCGACATTCCTTGCCCAGCAAGCGCCGCTACAAGAATTCCCTTATTACTATTTAATTAATTTAGTTGTTCAACGATACTGTCACTTATATGTAGCTTCTAGTTTGTACAAGAAATATAGTAAACTTTAACGTTGGAACTAGGTGCATTTTTTCCTTATACGTCTTACTATAAAATAATTTAAATACCATCGTGTTATACGGAGCTTATTTAGCTTAGCTTCATGTTGATTCAAGGAAATTCAGTTCAGAATTCAGTTGTCCTTTTTTTTTGACGGGAAATGCTTTACGCATTCTCCGTGTCTCGGGGCAGACACGAGAGTTATGTCAAACTCTCCCCATAATGGGGCATACCCACTAAACCCCTCTATTCCCGCCTGGCCATTGTGTGTTGGCCCCACTGAAAGTTTAGTGGTCCTAGACAATCGAATGGTTGATACTTTTGAGTAGATAAGTCATGTTAAAACGCTTAAAATCCTCTAAACATCCCAAACGAGTTAATGATAAGTGTTGTTAAACACAAATATTGGTTGTTTTAGTGAATTCCTGAGGTTTCCGCTAATCGGCAGCGGTTGTGTCGTAATGTGGTCGTTCGAGAACAGGCCCTTCATCAAGCTGGCAAACAATACGTCGTTCAGTTAACTGTTTAGTTCCAGCGTCGCGGTTAAAGTGCATGCTAACTGGCTGGTGCCCGCTGGCCGCTGGCCGCTGGCCGCTGGCCGGCGAGCTGTTAACCGTCTAACGGTAACCTGCCCACTGCGACTGTCGACTACTTAACTAAATGAATGTACAAATCAATTTGTTTACTTATGATGCAAGAGTTGTTGCCGCTGTAAACACGTTTCTGACAACATTCTCTTATTTAAAATATCAGTACACTGAGTAAACACTAATATGCTTTTTAACCACTACTTAATGAAGTAACTGGAAGTTTGTCCTCTACCGAATAAGTGATTATCATCACCAGGCATAATTTTTTTCTTCAGCCTCCTACAAATCTGTTCTCGCTACAAGCTTCAAAGGTTCTCACTTAAGCCCTTAATACTATTTGTTATCCTAAATATATTCGGTTAAAAGCCTGTTCATTAGCTACATAAACATCTCTACGATCATCGACAACCATTTAGTAAAAAGTATTTATAAAACCCGGAAATATAGGCGGTTATTAATCACAATATAAACACTATTACGTTACAATATTTTACATATAACACCTTTTATAAAATAAATACATTTTTATCTCCATCTACACAAATATAAATCTTTTCTGTCTTTAAGCAACAAACATTATCCGTTTCACGCTCGTATCCGCCTTCGTATTAAGATAAATGTCTTGAGATTACTTATGGATGTCTTTTAAATGTGGCCATTGTCTAACAGTGAACACGTAAGGTTTTCTTAAATGCTGTAATTAACTTTTTATCTAATATCTTGTTCTTGAAATAAAATATTTTCTCCATGTTTTTACTGTGTAATCTCGCCTTAAGTGCTTTCTTAGAAATTTATTTTAAATAAGTTTTTTCTAATACAATACGTGTGGTAAAAAAACTGGTTAAAATAATATGTCCACATTTTTTACGGAGTTAAGTGTTATTACTTATGCGATAGTTTACGCCATTAACTCGAGATGAAACTGCGCAGTGAACACTAGTGTTATATAACTAATGTATTTTATGAATAACTACTGGCAATGTATCACTACATTACTTTTCTTTACAATTATTTTACATAAACACCTAAATAATAAAACACACACACAACAGCAAACTGTTCTTACTTAAAATTGACGTTTTCACTCCAGCCAGATTAATTTCCAGCTGAAATGACAGTTCAGTCTACTATAGGATCCTCGTCTATAAAAAGTAATTAAAATCGCTTACAATAATTGATTACAATATTGATTATCCCTTTACAATAAACAATTTTCGAGTGAAAAGTAAAACTAAACTTTTAAGGACTAGAGAGAGATATGGTTACCCTACTGTAAACAGAATCCGTCTGTTTGTACAACAGCTGTATGCGGCGTTAAGATAAGGCGATATTACGAGTACAAATTGGATTAAAGTAATCACAAATGTCGCATTGCTTGCGCTAACAGTCGGTTTCCACTGACGAAGCACCAGTACGAAAAGACATTGTTATCTCACATTTTTCAAGGGGAACAAGCGGGATGTATGATTTTAAAACTAGCGATAACATTATCAAATGTAATTCATCTTGTCTGACGTCGAATGTCTAGACTGCCGTGACAGAGCACTTCGCAAGATAAGTACTTACGTTACTTTAGTTTTATTTTGTTCAAAATCTTAATGTATTAAAGACTATTTTTCGCCCTCGACTCCGTCCGAGTGACAGTAAAAAAAAATGAGTAGTCTATGTGTTCTTCCAGACTATCTTCTACATCTGTACCAAATTTCATCAATATCCGTTCAGCCGTTTAGACTACAAACTAACAAACATCCAACCATCCTCCTAAACTTTCGCATTTGTAATACTTATTAGCAAAATTAAAAATGACTGCACTAGGAAGTGGTTTTAGGCAAATAATTTCTTTAATGAAAAAAGAAAATATTGTAAGTGTAAATATTTGTGTCCGACTTTGTTCGTTCGACTTGAATGAATGCCAGTTGAATCACTTTGCAAATTCGCAAACAATTACAATGTAACCTGCTATCGCCAGCCTCGAGACATTAATTCTTAAGAAAACTGTCGTAACTCCAAATTTATAACATTTTGTGGTTATAGTTTTTTTCGGCAGTAAGGTCAACGTTAAACATTTTACTTCAAAACTTATGTTAACTGTTTGTCAAAATGTAGTGAGGATTTTGATGACAATTTCGCATATAAAGACCTCCGTCATCATCACGGCTGATCGTATGTCGTATAAACACATTTAAGAAATAGTAACTAGGTAAACATTCAGCCAATGTCGCAGTGGAAGGTTTTTCACGAGCTTCCGTTTGCAGACCTTGACCGCCACACGCCCCGTCACACGGCGGATATTGTCGGATTTTATTGCATACGGAATTTATATGAGAACGCGATAAAACACTTCCACAAACGAACACAGTAAACTTTGTTCCTCCTATTGCTTACAAGAACTTTAGTAATAAATGTGGATGGGGTGGATGCATGAATAGGTAAGTTGATCAAGAAGGGCATTACACCTGGAAGACGAATACTTACGGGTGTAGAATAAGGACGGGAGATGATGATTGGCTTTAAACAATTTAAAATTTTTCATCTACTAATACAAAGTAATAATACATTACTTTGTTAGTTATCCATTGATGAATTAGCGGAATCCACAGCAAACGACACGGTCTGCTACTTTATCAAAAAATTTATCTTCTTAAAATCCAAATTAAACGACGTATATTGAAGGCCATTCGTGTTGAATATCTAATTGCAATTCAACTTCGGATCTTCCCGAACGTCTTATGCATAATACATCGTATCTCGATTGTTGCAATTATGACTTCTATTGCAATGTCACAGAGCTCAATGTACTTCGAGAGTTATATTCAGAGGAATTTCGTTGGTATTACAACGGATGTAAGATTTCTCTCATACATTGAAGGCAATACGATCGGTTGCGTAGCGTCGGTGTTCGGTGCTCAGTACGCACTTCCACGACCGCAGCTGATTCACGACGCGTCTCGTAATTTGTCGGTCGCGGCTTGAATTTTCATCATGCGTTCTTTGGTTTCCTTTCGTAAACGCTATGTTGGTTTTTTTATATTTCCTGTCACGTATAATCTTCTTTTAATTGTAATTTCGAAGCCATTTCTGTTGGTGGTCTGACAGTTAAGTATTCCGGAACATTCCAATTGGTGTAAATTTCGCAATAACAACTTGTGTTAACCATCAATGGTTAGATCTTAGAATTTTTGTAGCGTTGAAAGTGTACTAAAGAACATGAAGTCATTCATGGTCTTTACCATATTTTAATTTGAAACGTATGATATTATTTTTTTTTCATAAGTAATCTTTAACAAATTGCCGTACAATCAAAGTAATCTCACAGCAAGGTTAGTTGTCGGTGTTGATGCGGGTTTGATAAGCAAAGCGGTTAACGACCATTAAAACGTTTATAGTCAGATTATGTCGCAGCCGCAGATAACACGACCGAGCATTGAGCATTGCGGAAATATTGTTAAGACAGAGGACGTTGCAGTACATGACAATAACTACGAAATCATGTAGGAATTACATAGATTGTGAGAGATATTTATCAGGCAGCGTTCAAATCCGACGCTGGTGTAAGTTGCGCCTGTTATTATTGAAATTGTTACTTTAAAATTGTTCAATTCCAAGTGAGTGTTTGAGAAAATCAGTTTTGATCAAAAATAATAATAATGAAATGTGGATGAAAGCGTTTCATCGCAGAGAGCCAGATGCAGGAGAATTCACAATATCATTCTATTTCAGTGTTTTGCGCGCTGTTGATGCAATGGCTGCCAAGTTTTTTCAGCGTGCGCGATCTTAACTGAATCTGTGAATTAAACTTGCCTGTGACCTTCACAATGCAAAAACAATATTTTCCTCCCAATTAATTACCGTAAAGCCGACTTAATTTAGACACAATTATATTTCATTTTGATTTTTCTGCAAAAGACGTGCACAGTTCACTGACCATCAGTTCAATTTAACTATAACATTGTCATGCATTCATACAAATAAAAATAATCAACGTAAGGTGGATTTTCGAAAATTGTTCAATAATATATTCAAAAATTGTTTATGTAGATTGATATACTTCATTATAATTTCGCAATCGGTAACGTAAATGTGAACGTATCAGCGTAGGTAGCAACGCTTCTATATCCCAGCATCCTTGTGTCACATAGCAATGTGTTGATACTGTTGCACTCCGCAAACCTGTCTCTTGCCTAACGACAGTCCATGACTTTATGATAATTTCACGTATTTTACGCGAAAACGAACAAAAACCTTGACGGTAAAGATATCGTAAACATATCGCTGAGGTCTCGATGAATCAATGCATATATTAACAAATACCGGTTTTTAATACATTAAAATTGGGTTACTTGTATATTTATTCGGAATTAATAACCTACGGTATTTAGCATTAGATTTATTTTATGAAGTCCAAACATAAGCTTTACTAATAATATACGAGTAAAGTACAAATGGTATAAAGCACTACAACATTATTTAGCTGCTAAAAGTTAAACGACGAAATGAAACACAATTATTATTAGATCAAGCATGTTCTAATGGGGGCTATTTTAGACAAGCTACTGGAGTGTAGGCGATCGAAAATAACATTGCGAACGCCTGCCTTGCAGAACTGTGATCCCAGGATGCTAGGTCTGAGTCGTGCCTCCGCTCATTACAGAGAATTTTGTGGTATTATATATGTAAAATGTTCATAATGAGGAAAACAAATTGTTTATAAACCTAAACAGAATAGCGGATAGCTTTCTATAGATAGACTTCCAAATGTAAAGTTTATATTGTTGCAGGACGCCTAACATGCGTGCAAGTGCTGAACATAATGGTGCTGCTTGGCTTCATGCTGAACTACGCGCTGCGCGTCAACCTAACCATCGCCATCGTCGAGATGATCTACGACGAGTCCGACAACCACACCACCGTCGCACATCTCACCAACCTCACAGACCATGTCAATGTCACTCAGGTACATGACCACCAAGTCATTTTTAATTACGCTTTTGAGTAATTCAGTGGCAGTTGTACTGAATTCTAAGAATTCAATTGTTAGCTGTTCATTGTGCATTACATTATAGAAAATAGCGATACTCGTTGAAACGTAATTTATTTTATACTTTGTCTTTAGAATACAATGTAATAGAATACATTACTCAGAACTGGTTCTTTAGTAACATCTTTTTCTTTACGTATTTCCTTATTTGCTGTCACAAATATACAAATGATTTGTTTTTAACAATCAGCATTATGTTACTTTCAAAAGAATGCCCTAAAATGGACATAACATGTGGAGATAAAGACTTAAGTCTGTTTTATTTAAGTAACGTCTTTTTTAATTTAGATGGATAACAGTTAATTAATTTAAATATCAAATTCCCATTTAAGTGACAAGGAAAGGATTATATCAGTTTGAGATTTCAAGAAATGACATCAGTGTATCGTCTTACGATAACTTGTAACATTCCAGTAGGGGGCGAGAGGTCAGCCATGTTGATAGCAGATGATAGTTTGGTGCAAACTGCAAAGTGCGCAGATTGCAATCGACGGTGTTTTACACGTGCTAGTCAGCAGTCAGTGAACTGCCAGTTAAATCTGGATTTGTAAAGTTAAAAGTAGACCGGAGTGGTAGACTTGTTTATAATTGAAGATATCTGGAAATTATAGATATCTGAGAATAATTCTTATTGGTTAAATTCTTTTGCGGATAATTTATTGATCTTTCGTTTGTATCTGATTTTAATATTTTTCTTTTCGTATAATTCCAGAGTATTCACCTTCCGACTAATTGTCCGTGTGTCAATTAACTGCTTGCTATAAATAACTGTTGATATAATGATTAATGTGCGCGGTCGGTGGTCAATTAAGACATATTTCTGCGACGTATTTCGTTAGAGATAGCTCGTATCAATTCTCTACGTATCGCTTGTTATCTGTATGATGTAATCGACAATCATTACATGACAAGTTGGGCTATTTATGGACCTTCTTGTTTGTGTTTTTTCGACGAAGTTCACAGTATAGGATAATGCTTGCTTGAAAGTTTATTAGAACGACAATAGTAGAATGGAGAGAACTTTTATTCCACAATTCCTTTAACATTGTTGTATACGTAAGGTCTATACAACTGTAAATAACAGTGTAATATGTTGTGCAGCATCCAGAACACATAGAGCAGACACGTTACCACTGGGATATGAAACAGAAGAACCACCTGCTGGGATGCTTCTTCTGGGGATATGTCCTCACAGAGCTGCCGGGCGGCCGCCTCGCTGAAATTATCGGCGCCAGGTAATAATCTTCAATTTCCCCTTTATTAAATTTGTAAATTGAACCTATAAGTAAGAACTAAAATTCGCACGAACCCATATTGTGCTGTAGAATTATATATTTAACTATGATTGATGTTTTACTATGACCACACTAAAAGTCAATTAGTCAATTACGCGTGTTCGTTGTGGAATCGGGAAGTCAAGATGGCGTCTCCGCAGAAGCTTCCAGAAACCGCTAATAGAAGGGTCGAAGTCAACGAGCGCCCGGCTCCTTATTCTACAGGCACAATTGACCAATCGCTCTTACGTCATGCCTTAATTTAGATTTTTGGGTGCTATTAACAATGTTTAGATAACTATGTACTTTGTATATGATAAACTAATTCTTAAATAAATTTCAAAGGAATCTTTGTAATAAAAAGTAATAATTTTTAAATAATAATAGAGTAGAATATGATGTTACGAAAGACCATTGGGTTAAACCCCGCCAGAGTGTAATTGACTAATGATACTTTACGTAGGTATTAACTTGGTCGGATACAACGTTGGAGTTTTATTATTTATCTGTGGGCAACCAGTGTGGGCGATGACAGCAACTGCTTGCTGACTAATATCTGAGCTAGCTTTGAATCTAGGACGATGCCATCAGGTTCAAATATACTGGACACGTGGTCCTCGTTTTTTAGTGTATTAATTTTAAAGTTTCCTTAATTGAATAGATATGTTATCTGAATAGCTAACGACAATTTAGATGATCGATGATGACTCTTAATGTACGTCTTGGTAAAATAGACACGGTTTTTTAATAGCATTTAACAGTAAAGAATTACTTATAAATTGATGTTTTTGATTATACACAGATGAACAAATGCTTAGAGACTTACATTAGCGAAATATTGTGCCATCGAGCTGTTATCGCCATTGCGGTGTGTACAGGCATGGCGTGAGCGCCATCATGCGTGAAATGGCGGGCGTCATTTTTTATGTTCGATGATGTGGGCGCTGATTACTGATACAGATTCCTGACGAGCCATTGCCAGCTGCTCTACATTGTTAACTAAACTGAAACTCTCATGTTATAAGAAAAAACATTGAGTGTTGGTATTGTTATAAAATTATTTATTTTATCTAAAAGCGAAAGATACGCACAGCTAGTTAGTATTCAATTGACGATATCACATGGTAAGGTTGGATTTAATGGTGTTTCTTTGAATAGGCGAGTGTTCGGGTACAGCACTCTCCTAGCCAGCTTTCTGACGCTACTGTCCCCCGCGGCGGCGGCGGCGGGCTTCGGCTGGATCGTGGCGCTGCGAGTGGCCCTGGGCTTCTTCCTCGGCGTCACCTGGCCCGCCATACTGCCTATGGCCTCCAAGTGGATCCCGCCCATGGATAGATCTAAATTCATGTCCAATATGATGGGTGAGTTGAACAACCTACTTTATTTACTAAACGTATTCTATTTGTAATGCCCGATATATTATCACCTTATGTCGTCATTGTAATGTCGTCAATCACATTTTTTTAGCTTTACTATAGTGACTGACGACCGAGAAATAATTCCATCATCCATTAGGCCCAATAAGTAAACAATCATGACGCTAGAAAGATAATTTAACGGACAAATAAGACGCAATAGTATAATGCGTCCGGGTGTTATCTCTCAATGTGATTGTGGTGTGCGACGTCGAGTGGGCTCGTTCGGCTTATTTTTACAATGGTCGTTTTGCCGCGCGTCCGATGCAAGATGGCGTCGGAGGCGCGCGCGGGCGCGGCCGCTGACGTCACGGCGAGCGCGGCCCCTCATTGGCCCGCGCCGCACGACTGCGCGCGCTAACCTTGCGCAACGGTTGCCATGCGCGTGCACCGGCTACCGAGAAACGTGGTTTATTATTCGTTAGTCTCCGAATACGTTACTTGATCGTGTATTGTAGCTAATGGAACCCATTAATTTATTTACGTGTAGATCTACACGTGTTAAAATTACTGCGCACAATACTCAATGATTAAATACTCGCATGTTTTTTACATCCTAGTGCGATTATTAAAGAAAGAGATAAATGTGGATGATTTTTCACATTTGTTTTTAACACTTATAAAAGTCGATAGTGACGCTTTTATAAAACTTAATGACTATTAAGTTAGTGTGTAGAGGGGCGGGGGGCCTGTGCCCTGTGGCGAGAGCTTCGCCCGCGCGCAGGGTCACACTGGGCTGGGACTGGGCCGCTATTCCGAAACCGCTCGTTATTCATTTTAATAGGTCACGGTTATTTTAATTTATCATTGCTAATGTTGCTGAAACGTGGCACAGCACGGTTAAATATAATTACGATATAAACTAGACGATTAGATGTTTATTCGTTCCTTAATTGTAACTTTTCGTAATTATTGTTGGATTATTAATTTTAATTTCGACTTTTTTTAGCACTTTTGGTTATCACGATGATTTTTTTACGTTCATTTCTAAGACTAAATTTTAATTGCTTGTTAAGTTTTAAAATATAAGACGTCAGATAATTGGACCTTGCGTCGCGCCGCGATAACATTTGCATACTCTACTGAAGGACGTATTTAGTACAGAGTGACGCATACGTTACTCATACACACTGACACAATGCTCCTAACTGTTAAATTCCATTGCAGTGATATTTGTATTATTATATACTAGCTTTCGCCTGCGACTCCGTCCGCGAGGAATTATAAAAAACAAAAGTGAAGTCAGTAGCCTATGTGTTCTTCCAAACTAACCTCTGAACCAAATTTTATCGAAATCTGTTCAGCCGTTTAGGCTACAAAGTTTAACAAACATCCATCCATCTATCTAAACTTCCGCATTTATAATATTAGTATGATTGTTGTTTTTATTCTGTTAAATATAACGAAATATAATCTCAATACGTAATAGTATACAGAGAAATTTAGTTCTACGGTTTCAAGCGCTACTTGCTGAAGACCAAAATAATATCGGTATAACACTGCATTACTGTAATTTCAGTTTCTGAGACTAATTATAAATAATTAGCGAATAAAGATTAATTTTTTTTCTGCTCATTCCAATTGTATTACTGGAATAATAAAAACTTAGAACGCTATTCATAATTCTTGTGCAAGTTATAATCGTAAAAGGCGCACTCAGACGAATTAATTAAATGCAGTAAAAAAGATGAATCTAACGACATAAAAAATAGACATATACTTAAACTTGCAACAAAAACTTAGATGTGTATAAATTATCAATTGATTTCTCAGTCGAGTCACGTTGCCGTTAATAATTGAATGTCGTGATGAAATTATTACAGGTAACATACTGCTAGTTACATAACGACAATTTTAACAATACCACAAAGATAAATAAAGAGATAAATTGCTGTAGAACTATCTATACTTCTATACTATTATAATAAAGCGTAAACACACACTTCTTTGTTGCCTAAGATGTCAGCAATTACAGCATATTTATGAACAATTCTTGTTAAATAAAATTTAGAAAGCTTTACGTATAAATATCACTGCATACCTCGGCTGACACCGACATCAAGGTAATAATAATTGTACAATATAGACATAACAGCTACAATAAGGGAGGTTTACTATTTTCAAGTAATTATTTCGTTACTTTTTAGTGTACTATTTTTTTTAGAATATTTTGCTTTTGTATGTATTCAATTCACGTAAAAACAATTGGGCTGATTTTAAAAATTCTTACACCATTAGAAATGTAATTCATCTACTTTTATATATACTTTTATTATTTTTTTAATTTCACGCGGACGAAGTAGCGGGCAACAGCTGGTGTTAAATATACAGTTAGTACATTCAGTTTGGTGATTTTTACCGTAACGAATTGATTCAATCGATTTGTTGCGAGAAGACAGTCGGCGAGGATAATCGGTCATTTTAAATTGACAGTCTCAATTGAAAATTCTGCCACCGACAAACATAATTTTTGAAACAAAAATCTTTGTAATTGCGTCTTTAACTCGAAAGTATAATAAAAGATTGTCGGATTAGCTCTCTGCTTATTTGAAAGGATTAGATATTTAGAGCTTACGCACAAATTGACTAAACTATCGAACAACTATTATCTCATGGAGGTGCGCACACTAATTGATTTTTAGTTGTGCAATTAAACAGTAGCATTGGCGAAACAACCGACAATCGCACAACACTTGTGCGACAGTTTAGTCACAGATGTACGTCCGCTTTTAAAAAAACTAACGCGCAATAAGAAACAAGATTACAAATCTGTATAGGTGATTTTTTGTTTGATAAAGTATCCTTGAATAGTTTTAGAACAGTCGAATATAAGTGTTTTAATCTTTGATTACCTTATATCTTATCTAATACTTCAAAAACTGGAAATAATTAGTATTTAATACTTACAAAATACGTCGTAATAAATGAAAATAGCAATAACAACAACTTATTACTTCCTTCATAAGATTTTTTAATATATCAACAGGTAAGAAAAGTTTCGCGCGATAATACTGCATAATATTTATAAATCTAACTCAATTAATTTACGAAAGCTTGCTTGCAATCGGTGCAGATTCGTGTCAGCAATAAACCTCATTTTACATACATCGTTTATGTGAGAACAGAGCCGAGCTTTGTACTTGTAGAATAATCTCTGATTGTTCCGACTTACGTCAGTTAGCTAGGACAGGGGGCGCGGCCGACGTTTCTAGTACTTCAGAACTTGCTTGTTATTTTGAAGTATGTTTGAAAAGTAGTATAAATAAATTTAAACTACCGCTTGAAGAATTCTAAACCAAACAGACCTTGTTAAAATCAATTAGGGATGGATGAACAAGAATAAAGTTATTGAATTGCGATGTTTTGTAATACGTAAGCTTGTGATGATGTAATAATGTATACAACTACGAATGCAGTTTTTTATTATTAATTAAGAAACGTACTATCAGCACGTGTTTTGTATTACGCAAGTCATTTAGTTTTGTATGTTGACTAGCGGGCAACACCCACTTTGCCGCTTCCTTGTTAGATAATGATAAAAACTACATCACGCGACGAAAGGTAATTAATTTAATTACGAATGTGTTGTGATGAAAAAAATCCATAGAGATAAAAACAATAGAGTGCGTAAAATTACGACTATAGTTTTTACAACGCAATTTAACTTTACCTTTGCACACGGAAAGGTCGAATTTTATAACACTTCATTAACTAATCTATAATTTCTTTTTCTTAATATAAAGTCATGTCGATTTTTTACTTTACTCTAGGTAATAGATCAATTTTCATATATTTCTCGGCTATTAGTGAGCTCCCATGCGGCGCGGTAGGCGATTTGCTTTCACTTTCGTCAGCGTAGCGGTCGGCTGTCGACTATCGGCTGCCGGCCAGACTCCGCGTAGGAATTTGACGCGGGAGAAACGCCTCACTATCGAGTCTCGCATCTTACATATTCTGTCACAATAACTACTATGAGCAGGCGCACTTTTGACTAAACTATCGGACAACTGCTGTGCGATTGTCGATTGTTTAGCAGCCCTTTCAACTGTTTAGTTGCACAACTAAAAATTGTGCGCGCACCTCCGTATAAACTAATAGTAATCAAAGGGCAACTAAACAGTTGTGACATAGTTTAGTCAAAGATGTGCGCGTACTCTAAGAACGCAAAAGGACAAGCGCACCTGTAAGAATTATGTATACGTTCATAAATAGAAGTGGAAGAAGCGAGAGATGTGTCAACCAACCTCTCTAGGTTACAGGCGTGAGTGAGGTTTCTATGAAAATTTGAAAATAAATCTGTTATGAGTAGCACGCTGCCGAATATCCTGTTTACTCGACACAGGTCGCAGAGCTAGGAATTTGACACCGGTCGTGTCACTGTTGTTAGTGCCCGGCCGCATGAATCAATGTAAACGTTACTTTACATTGTTGCAACAATGAATTGAAATCGTTTATAACATTTTTACTATTTCTTATGTTATTTTAAACTCGTCACTTCCGTTGCCATTTTACTACGCTTTGTTATTTTTCTAACTACCACAAATGACGTTGAAGTCCTTAAAGAAGGTATCGGGAAGGAAAATCTCTGTTTATCGATTTATGTTTGAGTGTTAGCAAAATATCACAACCTTAATGTGCCCATTGCCCTTCTCCTTGCGCCGACGACCATCTAGGTCTAGGCATTTTCGAGGAAAACGCATACATGTCATTAAGGTTTATTCGCAAATGTCGCCTTGACCGCCATCGATGGCCTTTACCCGCCCGGGGTTTTCCGATCATAACCTGTTCCTTGATTTCTCTTATTTGATTGCCATTTTAATAATAGTTTCTAATGCGTCACCGTTGAAACAAATATAGAAAAAAAAGTATAAAGATTTCGGATAATTTTATGGGCAGACTCCTTAGGTCATATCAAGACATTTTCCGCAAACCTGGATAAACGAGGAATGTATTCTTGCAGCCTCATCTCTGGGTGCTGCGATCACGATGCCGGTGTGCGGCTTTCTTATCGCACATTTCGGCTGGGAATCTGCTTTCTACTTCACCGGTGAGTCCCTTCAATTTAGATTACTATAAAATCCCTTTATTCGACATAATACTGATGCGGTGAATTGCTGGGGCAGGTATAATCGGTGTGATGTGGTCTGTGGCGTGGTTCGCGGTGGTATACGACTCGCCGGCGCAGCATCCGCGCATCTCTGAAGCAGAGCGCAACTACCTCCTCAAAGCTCTGCCACAGGATAACAGTACTAAGGGGGTGAGTCCATATAACGCTTTAGCATTGAAGAAAACTCAAGTTCACTACAAGCTAGACTAGATAACCTTTTATTTAATCATACTAATATTATAAATGTGAAAGTTTAGATGGATAGATGGATGTTTGTTAGAGTTTGTACACTAAACGGCTGGAAAAATTTGGTATAGATGTAGAGGATAGTCTGGAAGAATACATAGGCTACTTTTGTTTTTAATTCTACGCAAAGGGAGTCGGGGCAAAAGCTAGTAGTACATATTTATGTCAGTTTGATAGTTGACGATAAAATAGGGTTTAGTACTGATGAACATAAAACCGCTTTCAGTGTCCCACTGTACAGTTGGACCGGTAAAGTTTTCTCTATTGAAATTAACGTCGTAAAGTTAACTGTGGAGTGGGTGAGAGCGAGGGCGTGGGCGCTAAGGATAAGGCTGTTTTAGGAGCCGCTTAGTGATAGAACTATGCAACGTTAACTTTCTCTATGGACCAATTAAACATTTTTTATAAACTTTGTAGTATAATATAAACATAATTTCACTAGTTTTACTATTACTGCGTTTGTTCCAATATCAATAGTTTTGTGTTCCTACTTAGTTTTCAATACAAATTTTTACTTGAAGATGCTACCAATATTAACCCAGTGAAAGGGACAACTGTGATGCAACTTGACACTCTTACATCACTACGCGTCTACAGATCTAAGCTCTATGTTGAATGTCACTTTAACGTTACCCAATGTCTGTTTGTCAACGACGCTGGAGTTACTCTTTAGTGGTCTGATGTTACTTTGTTGCGACAACTTATCTTGACCTGTCTCTACAAAATAATTGGATAGTTCAAAAAGAGATTTAGACTACGTAAAGAGTGAAGAATTTTAAACGTTCCTATAGTTTTCTGTAGAGGCTAGCACGAACCATTCCTATTCAACGCGACTGATTGAAGGCATCTCTGACATCCTTGTAATTTTATTGTAGACAAAGTTACTTTGATTTTTCTTGTTTTTAAGTATGCATATTGTGTGCAGCACATGCCTGTCCCCTGGCGCGCCATGCTGTGCTCTGCGCCGGTGTGGGCCATCATCATCACGCACGGCGCCTCCGTCTTCGGCTACTTCACCGTCGTCAACCAGCTGCCCTCCTACATCGAGAGCATCCTGCACTTCAATATTAAACACGTAAGTCACTTTGTTATATACTGATTTTTGTTATTCCAGGTAACAAATATCCCATCTCTCCATACTTTTTTATAATATTTAAAATGTTAGATATCGATCGGTGTTTGACAAGAAAATCCCATTGATGGATTTTATCTATCTATACGTATAAAATTGGGCTGTCTGTTTGTTATATCAAAAGAAAATTTTCAGATTTCGGGAAGATGATGCAATTGCTTTGCTGATAACGAAAATCACGTTTAATTTTTTTGTCTGTCTGTCTGTCTGTCCACAAGCCGCGTTTGTTCCGGGTAATTTCCGAAACGGCTGCACCGATTTCGACCGATGTCTATGTCCGTCTATGTCAGCTACGCTTCAGTTTTCATTGAAGGGTAGCTGGGCATTTGTAGGCTACTGTTTTATCCTACTATTGCGTGGACAAAGTCGCGCGCAACAGCTAGTTTGTAATAATATTGATACGATCATTTATTTCAAATTATAATCTTTTATCAAAACAATGATTGATGTGATTTCAATCATTATTTTTAGATTTCTTCAAGTGTTTTTATATCTAAAGTTGTCAGGATCCTTAGATAAAAATCGGTTGGAAATATTCACATCTGCTTATATTAAACAAATCATACAATTTTAAATATTTATAACTATTTCTGTTTAACGCAGATGTCGATTGTTCCTTAACATTAACATTTATAGTGAATATGTTTAATTTCGTTATGAAAGGAAGCGGATCTCATAACATCCTGATATATCTTGTCATGGGAAAGTCATATTGTTGAAGTGCTTTCGTATTTTTCATTTACCATCGTCATGGGGTAAAAAGGAACGTGTTATCGAGCGCACAATTAAAATAAATCATAATAAACGAATTAAACACGTAATTTATTACCTCAATTATTGAAAACTAGCTGTTCCCGTGCGGCTTCATCCACATGAAATTATAACAAAAAAAAAACTTTTTTTATTTGTTTTATTATCAAAGTATCAATTGCAAATATAAAATTACCGTTATCATAATAACCTTGTTGGTCCCTTTCCCACATGAGGGGTTTTTTCCAATTTATATACCCCTTAAGTTTAATAGCGTGAAAATATATAGCCTAAAGCGTGACATAAGTGTAGGACTTTTTTTGAAAAGAAGAATTATTCAAAAATATGCTGTGATTGCTGACAGTCTACGCAACAAAGTAATGTGTGTTTACGCTTTTTTATATTAGTATATATAGTATAGATATAGATAACTTCACTTCTAAGAACTGAAGTTAGTTGTCTATTCATTAAAAGTAATAAAATACTCCAGTAGCTTTTGTATAGGAATATTATTTGTATTCATTACTTACAAGTGATTGGGTACTTCCCTGCATACTAATCACTTATGATAAGTATAACCTCTTTGGCAATACATTGGTGGAAAATTATTGTCCAGATAACAATATATGGTGTAATCACATGTCAAGTCATCAGTGTGTCAGTTTTTTACGTCTTTGGAACTGGGTAGAATGAAGCGTTTGACAAAATTTAATAACCCAGGCATAGACCGCCTAAACTTTTTATTCAGAGAAAAAATTATTACAGAAATCTGAATCACAGCTATGGAAAAACAATAGAAATATATATTTTTAACCAATAAATTTAAAACGTAATCGTAATTATAAAACTTTACAAAAGATAAGGCGAGTCTATGTAGGTGTCTATGTAGTCGATATGTAGGGATTCCATAAGTTATATATGAAAAGTCGGACAAAATCAGCAAAGACATTATACTAATAATTTGAAGTAGTTGTCTTTAAGTTCTATAAACAATGTAAACCTATGTATTTATATTATTTTTATGTATTTGTGCTTCATTATGCATAATTAAAAACTTTTACCGATTCACGCGCTACTTCAAACAATTCTCATTCTATTTTGACCAAAGCATGCATGAATGTAGACGTGCCTTATCTTGACTCGATAATTACAAAATATGTTTTAAAAAAGAACAATATGTTTAGTCTAAGTGATATAATGTAAGCTAGCCGGCTCTGTATACTCTCCCGTATGTATTTACACGTGGCGGCTCGTGTGCCGCGGTCGATACATTGTAGTCGCATTGCTTACACGTGTAACGTTGTTAATAACTAACATTTTCCCTGAAGATACCTTCTAGAAAAATAAACGTGACTCACACCTCCTTTTTATAAATTCACGATTTTTTAAAGCAGACACGCTTATAACACGAATTAACGGTAGTTTAGTTTCACGTGAGACGCCAATGTTGTCAACGAGTTTAGCTGGTTTGATTGCTGCTTAAAATATTCAAACGCTAATTAAAGCTAAAAACCACATTATTATGTAATATTGAATAAATAATTCTCGTTTTCAATGGGATTTAAATTTGAGAAAGACGGCTACAGTTATACTGATTAACGTAAATGTACTGAATACCACTTTAAAGTCGTTCATGAATTGATTTGAATTTGTTTATAGAAATATTTTTATTTGACATTTAGTATTACTTCACAAAATTACAAAACGGTTAACACTTAATTTTTACTCGGGAAATATTAATCTGATAAAAAACTATAGCGTCAAGTGTAATTTACTGTAGTCTAGAATTTGAATTCTAGTATAATTAAAAAAAAATAATGTGTATACCAACAGCTTTCTAAAGCACTAAAGCCTGTTTTCTTTACAAATGTAGTGGTTTGAATTTTTTTACACGGCTTTAAAAAGTCTTAAAACGTGTTGTTCTGTGGTATTATATTCAAGACTATCGGTCGTTGGTATTTTGATATAATTTAGCCTGACTTCTCTACGAGTTGCAAAGGACAAACAAGCATCACGCAAGGCTCCTGGGCGATTGCATCAGCCGGTTAGTGGACAGCCTCTGATAATATACAAATAACATAAATTCCGCACCGCAAATATCGAACTAAAATGGAAATTAATGCCAGGTCCTTGGCTTTATTGAAATTTACGAAAACTATATTTAAACGTCTATAATTTCCCATTTTAAGATTACAGCTTGGCATTAAATAAGTTAGGAACTGTCTGTTAAAAAAAAATTATCCAGTATCTATGTGTTTGTCAATTTCTATCTGTCTAATAAGTAAGTATTCAGGCAGTTCAGCTGAACAGTCGAACTGTTTATTTAAATAATAGCATAAAATGTTGACTAATGGCCACTCAGTCAAAAGCTTATTACTTAAATAAAAAAATATGCAATTAATGTTATTATTTTTGCGGTTTTGGTAGTAAAACAATAGAATAACGTCATTCATTTGAATCAGGATTGTCCTAAACAAATGTCCCGCATGGTGACCGTAGCTTTCGGTGTGAACGCACTATTTAACGCGCTGCAATTCTCAAGTTACAGCATTTGTTCAATGTCTAGTTTTTTAATGTTGTTTTTTTTCATAAACGCAAAAAGATATTTACAACATTATTCGAGTCTAAATTGCGTGGTTGTTATTGTTTATTTAATTTGATTTTTTAATACTTCGTTTATTAAATAAATTTATGTATGTTTAATGAATTAAAAAAAAGCAAATCTTTCACAATTTGTATCACAACAAAAAAAGGTTGAATGTTCGCTTTAATATAAAACTAGTTAGCATTCAAGATAATCGTACTGAACGACCTTCATTAATTCTATTGTGGAAACAAAACATCAAAAACTAGTTTTACTTTAGTTATCAATATGAGACTAAACAAGTTTAAGGAAAACCATTTAAAAATCTTGTAACAAAAATTCAAAGAAAGTTAATTTTATATCCGAGTTAAGTCTCTTCTAAGTATTGTTTTTTGTGTAAATTTAACCCAAAACAAAAATTATCACTCGCATATCAATGCGGGGAATAACACAAAAGTGGAAATACCGCAGAAGTCATTTACATAACTGAAACTTGTTTTGCTTCTATGGTTTAATTATATCTGATGCAAAAAAACAATCTGCTAGAACATAAACAAGACTTCTAAATATAGCTGTGAGCCTAGTACTAGAGCTAGGGCTTATAGGACATTTGCCCACAACAAAATTGTAATGCTAGTTTCACACAAGGGCACCACAGTACGGAAGAGATGGCGTTACTCATTGTTTGAACGAACATATTGTCCAAACGGAACTGCCCCTCTAGACAAAATGACTTTCGATTAGCGACGTCGCTTGGAAAATCTACTAAATGTGTCAAAATGTATATGAATGAATACGTGACTTATTGAATGTTATTGTCAGTTCCATACCTTTTCAATTTTCGATCATATAATCGTATGTTACGTTGTCTAAGGGGGCTGTTCCGTCTCGGCGATTGCCATACTGTCCTATCCTAAAGATGCTTCACTGTGCTGTCCTGCCGTCGCCGCCGTGTGAAACCGGCATTATCATCGCCGGACATTCCGGAGCTCGGCGCCGTCGCCTTACTAATTATAGAATTCAATAAAAACCCACGCTAACCGCAAACTCTTTACGATAGAATAGCTCGAGAATAAAAAAAACTGCAGTTAGTATTTTAGTATAAAAATAGCAACATCCTGTATAAGGTCTGTGACACAATGCTGAAATTAATTTTATCTTAAGCCTTTGTATTAAATTATAGTAAAAAACAATAGTTTTATTATTTAGATCTTTCATAAAGAAAAAATATCCTAGGGTGGAGTAAGGGATTTATCATTCACCTGGGAATATTGTGCTTTTAACATAGGGGGTTCCATTCAAATCTTATTATTGTGTGATTTCACATACGTATGTTTTATTTTTCAATACATATGTCGTCTTTCGCAAGCTTATAGCCCTATAGTTATCCTGTTGCATGTAATGTCACATCCTGTGCGGTTATTGGATATTTCCTTCATCAGTAACAAGTTGGTGTAATATTAAAGTGGTATGGTCTGGTATCCATTGTACATTACGTACGAGGTAATGGTTCATTACGATGTGCTGGTTTAAGCAAGCAAAATGTAATTAAAACATATAAGAGAATAGTTCTTGATAGACAAAAAATCTTAGTTTTTAAAATATCTTGTTTTTATGTTTTTTAAAATTCACATTTTCATTATCAGCCATTTTATAGACATCAGTTTAAAAGCAGGACAATGTATGTACCTTACGCCCTACATGGCTGTGACAAAGGAAAATAATTACTGTGCATATTTATTACTGTATTTGAGATCAAGTATTCTAAATGTTGTTTGGTCAATGTAAAATAGTTCTTTATAATTTGATGTCTTTATTTATCAATATTTTCCTTTGATTTAATAATAATTACGATTTATATAAAGTCGGTAAAAAAGGCAAAGATTTGTACAAGAAAATATGTCTATATTTTCTTCGTTAAATTTAATATAAATCCCTATTACAGGAAATAAAGTAATTTCAAGTGTTACCAATGAAATGTTATAACATTGAGATATCTGGAAGGTCGTGTCTATTATTTATAATCTGGAGAAACGCCAAATACATTAGACACGGCGCAGGAAGCATCGTTGGAACTAAATAAATACAATTCGAAGTTTCCTTGTAAATTATACGTCGATTACATAAACGTTAAACATACTACAAAGCGATAAAATCCAACGCAATATTATACACTAACTAAAGTTTACATTATGTGGAAGGAAAAAGGATGTACGTCAAAATATATTTACTCAATATGTTAGCGTTTTGCTCACAACCAAATATTTTCCAATAATTTTGTTGAAATCGTGTCACAACACTATTTATTTGTGTTTGCATTTCCTCTTTTGGATAGTGTAAAACATTTCGAGATATTTGCTCTTCCATCTTTTATATAAAAAAGCAAATTAGTTTCTACACTTTGGATAGATATTTTGAAATAATATAAAGACATAGCAGTGTCGGGGCAATGACATACTGTATATTAATCACGGGATTAATCAACTCTCCTTATTTCGTATGCGCGTCCTTTTCACCCACAAGTGTGGGTCACTTGTGGCACACTGCGAGCCGCCAGGCCCCGTCGCGAGGTGATTCATGGCATAAAACTGTACCGTTGCAGTGAATGTCCTTTCCCAACCAAGTACAATGCGCCATAAAAGTACTTATTAACGTTTTTATTTTTACTAATGTTATAACTGAATTATAATTTTTTTACAACGTAGTTGTGCGTGTAATCTAAGACGCAGTTTATCTTCCGGAACAAGGAAGCGGCCGGTGTCGCACGCTTTGCGGACATATCTAATGTTACTGCTAATAATTGTAATTATAGACATTTCCTTATCCGCCTATAACTGTAATATGGACTATAGAATATTGGATAAAACGTATAGAAGCGAACAACTTTATTTTAGCCAAGGTCAACTACTAAACAGAAATAGACGCTTTTGTTATGCAGTGTACGTTAGGGTCTTGATACTGAGAAGCATTTATATTACGGGTTCGTTCGTGTGGTCGGTGCACGGCGGCGGGCCCGGCCCTCGGCGCCAGACGACAGCCGTCAGCCCTGTACTGACTCACGCTCCACTGAACTCCCCTCAACCCCCACATACAGTGCTAAGAGGATTTATTATATACAGGATAAGCGTTCGGGGTGTTTCTCAATTAAAAAAACAATCCTTTTCCCCAAGCCCCGAGACGTTCTTATACTCATTTAAATTAGACATAAGCCGATTAAAAAATTTCTTTATCAGCTTAAATGTTTAAATGTGTTTTACACTGTTGCGTAAGAAGTATAGAATTCACAATATTTTTAATGTTATTTTGTTTGAAAAGTGTAGCATATTGTATAAATTTGTATTCATCTCACGTAAGCGAACGTATTATGAGGTCAAGTTAATGACATGTAAAATCACCGCCAAACAAATCCTCCACGTCCTGATGTGCGCGCTCGTTTGTTGTGCAAATTATGTGCCATTATGTACTTCACATATTTACTTTGACATTTTGAGTATCCATGTGAAGCAGTGGTCGGACATTTTGTTAACAGATGAAATTTTCTGTATCGACAAACTTAAAAAACTACTTTAAAAACCAACGCATTAGTTAACATAATAAAACTTTTCATAAGTATGACTATTGTTAAAGAAGTATTTCTTAAAAAAAAAAGATCAATCACGTCATCCTGTTGGATTAAGGGACCCGTTGGCATTGTCGGTCGTAGTTTTATTGTGTAGCCTGCGCGGGAATTCCGCTCAATTAAATATGCTTACAGCGCTGTCTATAATCCTTTGTGATCTGTGTCGAGATGTGAATTTTAAATTATTTTTAGAGCTTTTATCAATTCAATCACTATGTTATTTTGTACTGCTTCTGACGAAACTTATGAAGGAGTTAGTCTTTACATAAGTATTACTAAAGTCATGTGTTTAATCTATTATAGAATGGTTTGCTGTCGTCGCTGCCATACCTGGGCAAGTACCTGTGCGCGCTGGCATCGTCTGTGCTGGCCGACTCTCTGCGCCGCTCCGGCCGACTGTCCACCACGGCCGCGCGGAAACTATTCACTGGCTTCGCGGTCGGCTTCCCCGGTAACTATCGTTTACACATCGTCTTTTTCTCCAGAAAAGAACCTTCTCGACCTTTCTCGCATTTTTAGATCTTCATCTGTCTACGTTACGTTAATTGTTCAATCTGTGTGTTGTCCAGGTGTGATGATGATAGTGCAAGCGTTTCTTGGCCACGACCGCGTGTGGTCTATCGCCATCTTCACGCTGGCTCTGACCATCAACGGCGCGGTGACCGCCGGCTACCTCGGCAACGGGCTCGACATCGCGCCCAACTTCAGTGGTAAGTAACACTAAGCGTTAGTTAAGGCTGCAACGAGTTTTGAGGGTTTTTCCAGTACTAATTATATTCTTGTTCTTAGGCACTATCTTCGGTATGGCCAACACGCTGTCCTCCTTCGGCGGCTGGCTCTCCACTTTCATGGTCGGGGAGCTAACACATGAGAACGTAAGTTACATCAAGTTATACATGTAAAATGTTTTTATTGTCTGTATATTTGAATGTAAAACTGCTTGTTGCAGAACACGTACGAGCAGTGGCAGATAGTGTTCTACATCCTGGCGGGCACGTACCTGCTGGGCGCGCTCTGCTTCCTCAGCCTGGGCTCGGGGGAGCTGCAGCCCTGGAACAGCGCCGCGCCGCCCCCCACCAAGGAGGAGCAGCCCCTCAACGAGCCCCCGCACCAGCACAAGGTGTGAACGTACCTCTAGTTCTTCAAACATTACTTAGTTAAATTGACTCTAGTGAATTTATTACAATATTCCGTTTACAGTCGCGTCTACCGACATTATATTAGGTTCCTTCCTATTTATTGTTTTATGTAAATTAATATGTGTAGCTTTATGACATGTCAGGGTTATTTTCTCGGAGAAACGGGATTTTTTTTCGACATTAATCTAAATGTTCTCGTATCAAAATGTTGCAGCAGCTGTATGCGTATTGGAAATGTCAAATTGTAATCATTTATTACTGTATCTTAGTATTTTATGTATTGATTCAATTTAGAAACATTTTTGTTAATTCAACTTTATTTTCATACACTGATCTCTACGATAATGATAGATAGGTAGTTGTTTCAAAATAACAGATTTTGCGTCATTAAAAGTGCAGTATAGACAGTGCAAGTGTATCTCTATTACTGGTATTCACTATCGCTACCAATAGCTACCATCAGCCAAAATAGCGGAACTCCAGTAAGCACAAAACACCACGAATTAACCTGTCCATTCATAGAGATCAGTGTTCCCAGATCTATTTAGTCTTTAATTAAAAACCGACGAAAGACTGTTCGAATTATTTGTATGAATTAATTCATACAATTATACAATTGCTGGTAAAAAAAAAATATAAATTCAGACGTTTTAAATTAATTTTAAAATGGTGAATTGATATTTTTCACACAAATAACTTGTCAAAATGTAACAAACGAACTTGTGTACACTTGTAATGTACGTTGTAGTCAGTATTTAATGTAATGTTGACAGAATTTACTACTGTCCTATGAGGACAATAAAGTAAAACTTAGTTTTAGGATGACTTGCGATGTGGGAAAAAAACGTGAAAAAAATAACAAAAAAAAGGCTGTAAAATGTGATTTACGTACGAGCCGGCTCGCGCAATGGACACTGATTGTAGCCAGCGATTGGGATACGATCTTGACGTGGAAATATACAACTACATAAACTCTTATTGCCTTATTCCACTTGGCGTCCGCAGCTGCCGTTTCATAGAAGTTTTAACGCGCCAGTGGAAACGAGACTCGTGATTTTTTGTATGAAATTTGATCACTACCAAAGTCTATTGTAATCCTGGTAAAAGTCCCTCAATCATGTACATACTAATCAATTAATTATAACAAGTCTGAATTTAAAATTCACAGAATAATCCAATTTTCACGTCAATGTTCAACGAAACCCGACTCAGTTGTTGAAATGTTTTTAGTATGTAAGTGAAGAGTGGCGGCGGTCGAAGTCTCGCTACATGCTACATGACACTGCGCACGGTCTAGGTTTAAATATACCATTGTACTTTGATAGAAATTACTTAGATATGCAGTTTTTATGCCTTTTGTGATGAAAACTTTGATATGACTCGCGGGGACCAAGGTTAACGACGACGACTGCCGCCATCTCAGTATATCAATAAGTATTCCTCGATAGCTATCTATTTATTGTACGTCACGTGTTTAGGAAAGTTCACAGCCATAGCCAACTTCACTTTAATAAATTCTCAAGTTGTTCCGCTAATCTTTTCGGGGAAATGCACCCGACCATAGACAATCTCGTATTTTACCGTAAGACATAGATAATAAGAAGCCATGTTCAGTTAGCTTTACAAGGGACAATGCATTGTTTTGTTGTGCATTTTGACAGCTGTGATATGAAGAGCTTTGTCTATGGCCCGCCACCACGCTTAGCTACTCTTTGCCTCGGGAATGTGGTCTCTCTTTCTATTATTGTGTTAGAAGGAGACGGCAAACGTTTTTGAACGTTCCGAGCGTTTTCGCGCTTTCAAAATTTAGCACGTATAGAATTTTAATTTAAAAATGGCTATCAGAAGTTCCTAAGTGACGTTAGGTATTTAACAGGTATTGTATTATTTTATCTATGAATTATATTTCGTCTAAGGAACGTGAAGTATTCATCTGTTTTAGTTAGATACAACTTTTGTTTGATATTTATTTATTTTCTGATAAGAAGTCGTATTATATCAGATTTGTATGGATCTTAATGGTTTATATCTTGTACTGTAAAAGATTTTTCTTTAAAAAAATAACAAAAAAAATATAGTTGCTCATTATGATTTAAGTTAGCACAAATAATACAAAAGAAGCATTTCGTGTGCGGCTTATAACTCATCGTATCTTTTGTAAACGAAACAAAGATGTTTGACATATCAAATCAAATGTTGGACAAAACTTTATAAAAATAATAATTATTATTTTGTACATTCGATTAAAGCTGATATATGTTCAAGATAATTGTTTACACTCGAATATAGATGTATTAGGAACAAATATATAACTATGTACAAATAGTGACTAGACAGCTTTGTAAAGTTTCATATCTGATGACCAGTTTTTAGGCATTTTTACTGAAGACGTGTATGGGTTTTTGTGTATGTGTGAACAAACCGTATGTATGAGCTAAATTTAAACTTAACGCAACTTAATACGGTGTTATTGTCTTTGTGACTGTACTTTGTGAACATTATTATTATACATGATTTTTTTAAATAAAGTTTTCAAAAATATTTATATTTTTATTTCTATCCTTTTTAGTTTTTCGAAAAAATATGTCTATTACATTCCCCGTATATTAAATGACATAGGTAAATAATAGTAAAAAGTGTGCACTGCCCGGGAATCGAACCCGGGTCGCAAGAATGGGAATCTTGCATGATACCACTACACCAGCAGTGCTTGCGTTACTTACATTAACTTAGTATCACTTGGTAGTAAAACTTCATTCATAATCAACCACGCTGGCCCACTTGGTTGATTTCACATACATCTTTGAATTCTTTACACTTTGCTGATATCTGCAGACATCACGATGGTTTTCTACACCATAAGAATGTCGGGTAAAATATGTAAATATAAATTTCGAAAATCACATTGGTATACGGCGGAATAGGTACCCAGGACAGATTACAAGTCAAGTGCTTAAATTCTAAACAACAGACGCTCTCTAGGAACCAAAAATGTATATTCATTTCTTTTATAACAGAAAACATCTCAAATACTCCACAACCCGCTCTTCTCCAAATATCTTCTTGATTAAGTAACTAGCTTTTCCCGTGCGGCTTCATTTGCATTACATTATAAAAAACATTTTAATTGTTTACATTCCGTTCATTTGCAAACGTTAAAATTCAAATGCTCAAATAAATAACGCCGATACTGACTAAATTCACAATACCCTGTTTCGGCTTTATGTGGGCGTACCTTTATCGGCAAATATCTTTCGCCCGCGTGGAATTAAAAAAAACAAGTTGTCTTTGTGTTCCTCCAGACTGTTCTCTACATTTGACTTCGAGATCCGTTCGGAAGTTTAGGCTATAAACTCTAGCAAACACCCATCCATGCATTAACCTAGCCTTGCCATAAATACCGAAACAAAGAAAAACATTTTTAAATTGTAAATAACATTTAATTAATAATTTTACAGTGTGTTAGTTTAATACATAAATGTAAAACAATTTAAAATATAACAAGCTTATTCGATTTAGTCTTCATTGGGTGCAATGCTTATTTAATAGAGCTTTGAGCATAAATAGGATTATTTAGTTTGTTAAAATCGTGCTCAACTTTTGAAAAATCCTCATCTGTAAACAAAATTTTTTTGTGACCTTCCTGTGCGTACTTCAGCTCCAGTAGTTGTTTCGATTTTACCACCCTATTCTTTTTTAGATTATCTTTTAAGAAAGGACCAGAACTTTTCAGAGTTTTAAAAATTGAACCCCACTTCATTTTAATATCGCAAAATGTTGTGTAAGGTATTGGCGCCAAAATGAGAACTCAATGTACAATCATCTAATGACATATTCCAAATTCAAACGTTTTATATTGTTTTTCATCGTAACAATATTTATAGCCAGACTAAGTATACTTTCGCATGTTATTAGAAGGAAGTAAGTAAGTGTTAGAGGATAGTAAATAAAAGACGTGTATATGTAACTTATGATATTTTATTCAAGAAACATGTTACCAGCACAGCCTAGCTGTTCCTACGAAGCCCCCGCCGGCAGCGGCGCCGCGCGGCGCACGCGGGGCACCGCACCACTCACATTATATAGAAAAATATATACGTTTATTTTACATATGGCTTTCAATACGTGCTATTGTAAGGACGATGATTATACATATAGTTAGTGTTTATTTTAATAAAGAATTAATAATTTTATATAGTAGTCTGTGGTGGCTGCGCCGGGCCCCGCGCCCCGCACCCCGCGCGCCCTAGCGGCGGTCTCTGGGATCGTTACATTACCTATCACAGCTTCCTATTTGTGGGTTACTTAGCATTATAGCAATATTCGTATGTTTACTGCAAATATATTAAATATTTATTATACAGCAAAATGAAAATCTAGCGATACATGATACATTCTCTATTGAGTTTGCAGATGACTTAACGTGGCGTTTCGTTAAAACAAATAGTAAAACGACAGAGATTACTAATTATTTAGGGAATGCAATTCATTAAACGAAAAATAAAATGTTTGCATATAAAATTCATCTTGTATTTTGTTAATAATCGATATACAAACGCCACGCTGTCATGTTGAACTCGACAACTTCACAATACAACGAAACTAATCGCTCGATGCGACGTTTCATCTCTCCGCCTTGTCGCGACGACCTCGGCTTAACGTCGGTCGCCGCGCACAAACTTTACTCTTATAAAAACAATTTGAACAATTTTCATATAACTAGAAAACAACGATTTTTTTGGTCAATTTCACTAGAATTACATAACAATTAATAAACGAGAAGAAAAAGTTGAATAGACCAATGTACACACGTAATTGACTCAATTTAAACACAAATAAGACAACAAGCGAATTAATTAATTTTGAAGATTAAATTTAATACAGATTAAAAATAACATAACTTAATAATTTAATAAACACATCGCTCATTTGCCTAAATTTTTACTGTAACAGAAGCTTAGCAAACAAATATGACGCTTTGCTTGTAAATAGCACGAGCTTTAAATAACAAAACGAGCTTTTAATATATTTTGGGTAATAATAATTGAAATATCAGATTGATTAAACAAAAAATCATAAAATTTAGTATAAATAATCCTAATCGAGTATAAAATACCGCCGGATCTGTGCAGTTGCGATGCGAAAGATAAAATGTACAATATAAAACTAACATGCAAATAATTTATTTGAGGTTTCCTCATATAAAATATTTTAAGACAAATTTTATCGTCAATAATTGAAAAATGTAATTAAATATTTAAAAATAACTGTACACCTTACACATAGAAGTAGCGTCAGCGAATATCACTTAAGAAAATATACAAAGTATAGTAAACATAACTACGCTACAAGATAAAGTTATCGACCGAAGTTTAAAGCAAAGAAACTCGTAATTTATATGTAACGTTTTAGGCACCACATGTTTGTTCATTCCGTTATATCTAAAGCCCGCTGTCTACGCTCAGTTCTTACTGACAGTTTTATCTGAACAGGCCAACTGTTAAAACATAAATTATACAGTTCTACTAACAGTTAAAGTTTTGTCTATATAAGCAATTTAACTAAACAGTTGGACTAAACAGTTTTTAGGTGTAACTGTCAATTCGAATTGAGCGTATTTTGCGGGTAAGTGCAGGTGAGGCGCGCGGACACAACACGACGGGATTTTTGCACAGAAATATAGTGAAATATTGTTTATAAATCGATAAAATATGGATGAAGTTTTGTTGTTAATAAAACAAAATAAGAAAACAATTATTATTTAGAGAGATATAATAAAAAAGAAAGTAATTAGCGCGTGTCCGCGCGTCACGTCTAATTGAATGCAATTCCTTCAGGAACTAGTGATCGTGCGATATTATTTATATTTGTGTTACGACATCATACAACAAATCAGTTCATACATACAATGTGTGGGTGTATGTAGGACCAGGTTTGTAGTGCGTGTATTGCGCTTGACAACTTACCTAAGTTATAAAGTTAAAGTAGCGTCAGACGGCGGTGAAGCGGTTTGTATCAACTTCTTATATACTTCTATGTACTAATATAACGTAAATTAAGTGTCAATACTAAAATTTGAGTTAAATGTATTGTGGTTACAAACGGAGAAAATATACTATGTCCAAAGTTTTTTTCTATTCTTGATTTCTGTCATATCATTTTTTATTAATATCTTTCCCGCGGGAAATCGTTTTAATGATTTAGTGCAAACTACATTCCTAATGCTGTCGCCACTGTTCCTGTAATGTGTGAGCGAGATGGAATGATGTCTCTCTCTAACACACTCACGCGCGACAAGTGACGTGTCGAGGGAACATTAACTAACGTGTATTTGGTGGGACTGAGCGCATCTCACGTAAATAAGTTACTTGAACACGATATTAAATTATATTAACCTAATCAAATCAATTATTTACAAATCACATCAAAATTGACAAAATTATACACAAATTGACAAACAATCGGAGGTAGAATGATCACAACAATATTTGTAAGGTAAATACGACATTAAGTACAGTCAGGGTCCTTCGCGGTGTAACACTTACTGATAAATGCACTTGTACCTTGTATGCAATGCGTACAAAACATTCAAACGATTGTATCTTTAAAATGAACACCGCCAAATACCCCGACTGTACATCTGTGCGGTCAACGTGTCGTGTAATTTTAAATAACTAGTTTGTGTGTATTTCATGACTTTTCACAATATTTGAAATATTCAACATATTGGCTTTTATATGTAAAATATGTGCCGAGGAACTGAACATTACTGATAGCTAACTTAATATTATTAAAAGGATAAAGGGGATGTTTGAAGGCGGTCCGGGCGGGGCGCCGCGGTCCCTAGGCTGCACCCTAGGGGATGCGCACCGACTGCAGCACCTTGCTGGCCTGCAGACACAAACACTGTTAACTGAGAATATTGTAGACGTGGTGTGTGGTGTTGCGCAGAGGCGGCG